CTTTCAAACTCGTGTTTTTGCTCACATCCCAATAGGGACTGAGTTCAACTTTAACAATGCTGATGACATTTTAGGTATGTGCGTTAGGTATAATCTTAAAGGTCACAATGGGGCACACTGCAGGGATACAATTCCTGAAACAAGGTCGAGTTGAGGGGCCTTTTATGATTCTTGGCCAATATCCAGAACTAAAGGTTCCAAAATATTGTTTTCATTGCAGATTTGGCTTTGGTTTCCCAATCTGTTCTGTGTTCCCAGCCTTACAGGAGCTTCAGGGGCAGTTGTCACTTAGCAAAAATATTAATGGTGAAATAGACTATTATTGTGTGGTGAAACGACACAGCCATTTTTGTTCTCATATATCAGTATGGCAACACTAGACAATATCTCGAACAAGCATTCTTCTTCTTGGTCTTCTAAAACACAGCATGTTGTGAGAACAAAAAAAGCATTTATCAATGATCATGGGAATGAATCTTGAATGCATATGTCTCGTTTATCACCAGGTCGAACAGCATGGAAAACTCCTCGGAATGGAGCAACATTTCACTCGACTCTGATTTTGAGCCCTGTGCCACGCTGAGGAGCTCCGGTTCACGAGTTGCCCTCTACGTCTTCATCATCACCGGGATCGCCTGCACTGTTGTTGGCAACTTCCTGGTGGTTCTCGCCATTGCTTACTTCAAACAGCTGCAGTGCCGTACTAACTCTTTCGTCATGTCTCTGGCTGTCGCTGACTTCCTGGTGGGCCTGGTGGTTATGCCATACAGTATGGTCAGAACAGTGGAAGGATGTTGGCATTTCGGCCCAACCTTCTGCCATCTTCACTCCAGCTTGGACGTTATGCTCTGCACGGCCTCCATCTTCCATTTGAGCAGCATCGCTTTTGACCGCTATTACGCCGTCTGCAACCCTTTGGTGTATTCGTTTAAGATGTCCCGTGAACGCGTGGGTCTGCTGATTGTGGTTTGCTGGGCCATTCCATTCCTCATCGCCTTTGGCCCAATCCTCCTCGGGCTGCACAAGCTAGGAATGGATGTTCCTTTGCCTGAAAATGTGTGCATCTTCTTGGTTAACCGTGTTTATGCCGTCATGGCATCCCTTGTTGCATTTTACCTGCCTATAGTGACCATGTTGGTGGCCTACTGGAAGATCTACAAAGCGGCCAAGCGGCAAGTCATGCAGATAAGTGCAATGGAGGCACAGATGGCAGCAGATGTGGGCAAGGACTCGAGCAAGAAACAAAAACATCGCAATTCTATAAGGAGGGAAAGAAAAGCAGCCAAAACTCTGGGCATCATCATGGGGGTTTTCCTTCTCTTCTGGTTGCCCTTCTTTACTGTTAATATTGTCGACCCGTTCATTGAGTACGGGACTGCTGCTGTGATATGGGAT